CGAAAGAAAATTCATCTGCGGTTGCACAGGAACCCTGAACCGTCTTACAATAAAGATTTGTTGTTGTTGATTTTTGCTTGTTTAAAATCTGGGTTCCAGTCCCATTCTTTCCTAGCTGTGTATATCTGGGTGGGTCCTTTAATATCTAAGCTTAGAGATGTCAGACTCAATGTGAAAGAAAGAACTAGATTATGTGGTTTGTAAGACTCATTCCATCTAAGAACAGAATGAATCAAAAGTCCAAGGACCAGGAGAACTGCCACTGTAACTCCCTTCCAAAGGCTGGTAGCTTACAAGGGCCAGGAAGAGATGGTATTTTAGTCTCGTCCAAAGGCAGGGGGGAAAAATTGTCCCAGCTCCAGCACAGTTAAGCCAGAGGAATTCTCTTTTATTTGGGCATCTGCCTTCTGAGTTACTCAGGCTTTCAACTGATTGGAGGTGGCCCACCGGTACTAGGGAGGGCTTGGCCCAGTGGAAGAGACACACAGAGTAGGATCACTGCATGGAACTTTTCCTAGACAAAATGTAAAACTTTAGCCTTTTTCTTCCTGCCTACAAGATCAGTTCAGATTCTCCCTAAATTAGCCAGTTTCACTTCACTACAGATGATACTTCCTATTTCATATAAAACCTTTATCTCTGAAAACTTTACCTTTTTTTTTTCTTCTTAAAGATAGTAGCTTGCTATGTAACCCAGGCTGGCCTAGAACTCACAATCCTTCTACCTCTGACTCCCAAGTACGAGGATTACAGGTGTGTATATATTTACCACCATGCCTGGCTAGGTGTTTTATGGTTTTTAAATACCTTCCAGCTTTTTTCCTTCCCTATCTTTTATCTTTTGTGTTGTTGTTTATTTTTCTCAACAGAGTGATTTGTACTTTGTATCTCACTGGGCTCTATTTTGTCCCATTATCTTTGGCTATCACCCAGTTCCTTGAAGGGGGAAAAACTCATAAGGAAATAAGATAGTGGTTATGCAAATTCTGCCCGGACTTTATGGGTGGCATGCCTCTATTCTTGAGCCCTGTGGCTGCCTGCAGGTCTGGTTAACACTCTGTGTCACCAGGTGCTGGGCCGTGGGGATGGCCAGAACCTACCATTCCCTGCCTTCTGCCTGCCTTCTTCAGGCTCTGTTCTCCTTTGTAATTCCATCGTTCCTAGAAGAGGCAATGGCAGCTCTGGAAATCATGCCACAAATAGATAAGTGTTTTTGGAGAAAGACAGGTGGCAGATTTTAGCCCTACCAAGAGTTTGTGGCCTCTGCTTACTTTTTATTTCATGGATTCAGAGTGTGTGTGTGTGTGTGTGTGTGTGCATGCGTGTGTCCATGTGTGCGTGCGTGCACACACACGTTCAAACACGCACGTGCCAGTACTGGGCTCATACTTAGGTCCTGGGCACTGTCCCTTAGCTTTTTCTCATAAGGCTGGCTCTACCTCTTGAGCCATACTTATGGCTCCACTTAAGGGTTTTTTGGTGTTCAGTTGGAGATGAGAGTCTCACAAACGTTCCTACTTGCACCGGCTTCCAACTGTAATCCTCAGATCTCAGCCTCCTGAGTAGCTAGGATTGCCAGTATGAGCCACCAGTGCCTAGCATGAATCCACATCTTAAATTAGGTCGGGGCTTTGGCTAGACTAAAGGAGCAAAGGTCTGGGGATGGTTTTAGCAGGTGTGTGGCTGAGCAGGTGCAAACCCTCTGCCCCATCGAGGCTGTATTCATAAAGAAGGTACCAAGGGCCTGCTCCAGCTTCTCATCATGGTTGGGCCAGGGGACTCCGGGGTCTTTATTTACCTTGTCCTGGAGCATCTCCATTCTTTCTCATGTTGCCACTTTATTCATAGATAACTACTAATGTCAGTCTGGCTGAGATGATTGGACTATTTTAGTCCTGATTCCAAACTCTGTCTTCAACCTGAATTCAATGTGGTTTAAGAAGATGAGTGTATTGATCTTTAACTGCAAAGTCCAGGATCAGGGGTTACTTTCCCTCCAGCTCTCTGCTCTGCTATCCTACAAGTTGGTTTCACTGCATTGAGGCTTAGTCAAGTTCAGAAAAAGGTCTTATTTTCCCTCACATGTCTATGACTCTCATTCTGAACTAGCATAAGAAGTAAAGGGATGCACGATGCTTAGTGGGCTTGAACTGAGCTGATGGGTGATGCTCCTAAATAAGTTGAGCAGGCTACACCATCTTCAGAATCTGTGGAAGGGTTTCGCGTTCTTTAGAGGAGACTCCATTCTAGTTTTTTTTTCTTGTGTTCAAAAGGATTCTCTCTCTGTATACACATTTGACTTTCACTTAATGAGACAGACGCCCCAACGATTAGAATGGCTTTAAAATTTCATATTTTGCAAAAGAATCAAAAACAAATAACGGACTTTGTTTTAAACAGAAAAGTATGGTAGGCTCATCAGATAAGTTATAAACAAGACAAATTTTACAGGTTCAAACTGGATAGTTCTTGCAGTGAGGGGGATGTGATCTACAGATTTGACTGTGAGGTGCCCAGGCAGGAAGTAAGTGAGCGGGCATGCACATGTGTACACAGGGCCAGGGAAGGGGACAGACAGATAGGTGGTAATGAAGCCACTGTAATATATAAGACAATGTAGTTGATGACAACCTTTGCCTTGGTTGCATCATTTATTTTCCAAACTTCATCTCCCACCCACTTGGCCTTGGGAATCTGGCTTCTTGGCACCCAACATTCTGTTAGAAAACAAAGCAAGTAGACCAGGACTAAACACCATGTTTCTGGGTACCTTCCAGAAGCAACTGTAGGGTTTACCATGGTGCCTTTGAAGGGCGGTGTGGAGGTGAGTCACCCCTGTGACAAGGCAGAATTGGATCACCTCACCTCTGTTATAAAGCTGGGCGATCTCTCCAATAGTCTCATGCTTGCTTCCTGACTCACCTTGTTTATGCAGGAGAGATGTAGGGGGAGTGTGGTGGGGGGCGAGGGAGGATGCTCAGCTTCCCAGGTCAGGAAGGAGATGGGATGGGGAGAAAAGTACTTCCCCCTGCAGCTGACATTGGAGGACCCCTTGCCCTTGAGGTCTCTCACAGACTGGGGTCAGCTACAGCCACATGGGTCCTGGAAGAGCTCCAGTTTTCAGACATCGCGGCCCGCCCCTTCTCATTTGGGGAGCTCACATTATCTGTTGGATGGTTTTAAACCACTTGGAAAAAAGAGCTCAGGGCCCATGGGAAGACCAAGACTAGGATAACAATGTCAACTGCTCTACAGTCCTAGCAACTGTCTTACTTTCATTGATTTGCTATACCGTCTCCCAGAACCCTGCGCACCAACTGCGTTCATTCTGACAGTGAATATCAGAATGTAGACAGACTTGAGTATTGTACGCAATCTCATGCTGCTAGCCCTCAGCTGTTATTTCAGGATTAAGAAGGGTGAGAAATGAAGCTGTGGGCACTGGTGGCTCACAGCCGTAATTCTAGCTGCTTAGAAAGCTGAGATCTGAGAGGATATGGTTCAAAGCCAGCCAGGGCAGAGAAGTCCATGAGACACTTATCTCCAGTTAAGTAGCAAAAACCCAAAATTAGAGGGATGGTTCAAGTTGTAGAGCACCAGCCTTGAGCAAAAAAGCTGAGAGGGAGAGGCCCAGACTTCAAGCTCTAGACCTGGTATACAAAAAAAGGAGGGAGCTGAGCAATATTTATATATTACCTTGCATACAATTTTGAAAAATTGCAGCAGAGGAGGAATACATTTTTTTCTTTTTGGACGAACATTAAGAGCATGGACTTTTTTTTTTTTTTAATATTCCTTAAAGAGAATTACGGTACTGTTTCTTGGTTGGAAACTAGTCTTTCTCAGACCCTAGGTTGCTCTTTACACCCCTAAATTCTACCAGTAAATAGAGCCATGATAACCATGTGGATAGGCCAGTAGGTCCTACACAGCGCTGTTTACACGAGTTAATTTCCATGGTCTATATTCTCTACTGTTTCTAGCTGTGTGACCTTGGGCATGCTCCTTAATGTCTCTGAGTCAGTTTCCTTCTCTGTGAGATGGGCTTGACACCTGTCCATCACAGGGTGGCCGTGAGGATTCATGGAACATCTAGAACATTCCTGTCTTGGTACCCACACAGAGGAGGCAGATAGCACATGCGGCTGTTTTGGGGAATGAGCTACCGTTGGTTAGAAATTAAATTCAGCACCCATGGTATGTGCTGCCCCATCTTTGAGGGGTCCAGAAATGGTCCTCTAGTACTCCCCTCAAAAGATTATAAATCTTATGTAGATATAAGTGGCTCATGCCTGTAGTCTTGGCTACTCAGAAATACTATGGTGTGTTAAGCCAAGAGTCTGTGACACAACATTTCCAAAATAACCAGCAAAAAGCTGGGCTGGAGGTATGGTTCAAGTGGTATAGCAGCCATTGAATAAGTCTAGTGAGTGTAGGCAGCCCCAGGTTCAGTACTGGCACACACACACACACACACACACACACACACACACACACACACACACAGGAAAGGACATTTAAGACAAGACTAGCTACTCAAATAAGTGTTGGATGTAACCCTATGCTTTGTTTGGTGGAAATAGCAGCAATTTCAGAGTTGAGACTAATAGAAGATTCAGGAAGGTAAGTTGAGAAGAGAGCGTAACTAGCTGGCTTGCTGCAGGCTCAGCGCTAGGAGAGAGGCATGTTGCTGTGGGACACTCGTGGGTAAGAGGTGGCCATATTGGAAAGGACCACAGGAGGAAGAGAGGAGGCCGTGTCTGACACATCCTCCGAGGGACCACAGTCGCAGGGCAGGGAGGAGCAAGAGCTCTGGGCTCGTGCTGGGGACTGTCATTGGTGGAGCTACTGGAGAAATGTGGGTGTGGCTGGGGGCTGTGTGTGTGTGTGCGCGCGTATGTGTGTGCGCGCACGCGTGCGCGCCTTGGTGACCCTGTCCCCACCCTCCCTTCCTCCCTCCCTTTTGGCCTCACTCTATTCCCCTTTCTTCCTGGCCACAGAGCCCCCTCCCTTGCTGCCCTCAGGGACATGGCTGCCAGCACTTCTGCCCCCCCTCAGACTTCACTGTCAGCACGCCAGTCTTCAGGGACATGAAAAGCAACCACTCCTTACAAAAAGTTGGGGAGCCCTGGTGTTTGGAGGTAGGTGTGGAAGCACAATGACGGTATGGCACGAGTCAGCCCCTGCGATGAAACCACCCAGGCGCAGGTGACCTGGCGCGAGGGCAGGGCCCACGCACCCATCACCATCGCTGAATTCTCCTCGGGTCACTGTCATGTCGGGTGCCATGATGTCTGGCTCTGCTGACGGCCGATAGGAATATCATGGCCATAAAAATGCCAGTTTACAAGAAAGAGGGTGGAGATGGTGTGATTGTGAGTGTAAGATGCCCGGCTCCACATAAAGGTCACGTGATCTCCAGCCACGCCAGGCTTCCGTGAGAAGGGTGAGCAGGCCAGCACGTTTCTCCCATTAAACTTGACCCCAGGAGGTCATTTCCTGCGACTCTTTATAGCTCCCAGTGGAAGGGGAATTCTCACCTCAACTTTGCCTCTCTTCCTGGTAATTGAGAACCTGTAGATTTTAAAATTCAGGGTGCTGAGAAATATTCACCCTTCCACACCCATGGCGGATAACCTGGCTGGATATTGCTCTCCCAGGACAGGAAGCTTTGTTCATTTCCTTTAAATAATTCAGTGCATTATCTATACTCCACACTGCTCTCTACTTGGGAGCAACTGCTCTCTTCAAATTAGTATAGTCTCAAAGATTAAAGACCACCCAGTACACCGGGAAAGCTAACAGCTCCCAGATTAATAAATTTTAACTCTTAGATTGAAAGAGCAAATGATTTAGACTAATGCTAGTGTTTTCTTGCTTTTAATGAATATATCCACGAACCAGTTGGCATTAAAACATTAATTTATTTCAGAACAGTAAATTGTATCCCTACTAAGTGCTGGGTGCTTTGCTTTCTTGTTGAAAGCTACCGTGAGACAGAAAACATGGCTCCATCCAGCAGGCAAGGCCCAGACTAGTAGTAACATGCTACTACACAATATGTTTAGCCTTTAGAGAGACAAAATGTGGACTGTATCATCTTTAAGTACTACTTTAAGGAGTAGTATAACTTTAGAGACATTTGAATGAACTAGAGGTGTAGAAATGTGAACACCCATCCTCTTGTTACCTATTGACAATCTAATATTTGGCTATACTTCTTGTAAGTCATTCATGAAGTGCATGAACTTTAGGAGGTAAACTTGGGATTGTACCTTGCTCCATTTGCATTTTTATCTCACTCGATAGAATACCAAGGACTTTTCTGTACTACAGTGTGAGCTAATTCTGGTTAGTAGCTGCATGAACTGGTGTCCTGTGGTCTAACCATTCCCCTTCATCTGCCTGGGAATGAAACAAGACGTTCTTGGGATTGTTTGAACTTTTGCTTTCTCACCTCTGACTTGCTTGTGCTTGGACCTTGCTTCTATTCTAGTTAGAGAGAGAACGGAAAGCAGGGAGAGAGGAGAAGGGAGAGAGACTGGAAGGTAAGGAGGGCCCCCCATGTGTAGCCGTTGTGGCCTGCTAAGAGCTGTCCTTTAGCACCCAGTCTTTGGGCCTGGTAGATGGCAGCTCATTACTTTAGTCTTTGTGCAGTGTGGAGAGATCAATAAAGGAGAAACCAGGTGCCTATTTTGATATGAGGAAACAGAAACAGAAAGATTGGGTCTCTTCCTTATAACTCAAGATCTACAAGAGCTGATTAGAACCCTGGCGCCAGTGACCTTGAGTGTGTTTTAGGCTTGTCCCTAAGATAAAGAAACATTCCCCCCTGGTGCCAAATATGCCATCTCTCTAGATGAGGTCTAAGCCATTCTGTGTAAGTAGACTGGGCACAAAGATGGCACTTAGGTGCTAATCAAGTTGGTGAGCTACCACCTGTTCTGTGCCATGGTATTCTGGTCACATAAGGTAGGAGCTTGGCAGGAGAGCTGGTGTCTCTGTGGTGAACAGGTGTCTCTGTGGTGAGCAATGTGGCTTTTTAGGGAATCCCATTGTCAGTATTTCAGTGTGACAACAGGTCAGTTTGTTTGCGTGCCTGCTTACGTTCGTAGGTACTCTGGCTTTCTCTATAGATCTTCAGAGAAATGTGTATGTAACAGTCCAGTACTTGCTACTTTAGAGTTTGAGGGTGTGAAAATCTACAGCAGGTGTGTATTCAAAGTGCCTCTGGGGAGCCATGTGGAAAGCTCATGTGACTGATAGGAGAAGTAGGTTTGAGTCTAGTGTTGGCAAGGCTCTGGTTCCGCCATGATGCAATCCCCAGCTCTGTAAAAGGAGTTGGAAGACCGGCCAGGCTGCTCCACTGGGCATCTGGAGAGATCTTGGAGTTTTAACACAGGCTTCTTATGATTCAAGCTCTATTACTAATGATTGGTACTTGTATACTCTTTAAGACCTGATAATTATCCATGCTTGTAATCCTAGCTACTCAGGAAGCTGAAATCTGAAGATCACAGCTCAAAGCCAGACTGGGCAGGAAAGTCCATGAAACTTTGATCTCCAATTAACCACCAGAAAACTAGAAGTGGATCAATGGCTCAAAGTGGTAGAGTGCTAGCCTTGAGCAAACATAGCCCAGGGACAGCTCCTAGGCCCCAAATTCAAGCTACTGACAGATATAAAAGATTAAAAAAAAGACAATTTTAAGAGGGAGACACTATGATTATTCTCACTTTGAGGCAACCTGCTTAAGATCACACAAGTCCAAGAGTTGGCACCATGAAATGTTATTCATGAAGGACCATAGCTGTTACTAGTGCTTCACTCCTTCCACATCAACCCTCTTCCACTTGCTAAAAGAGAATGTGTTTGGTCTTATGGACTGCCTGCCTTCTTGGGAGCTGAGGGGGAGCTTGTGAGTCTTAGAGTTTTCAGGCCTTGTCATCACCCATCCCTACCTAACATTCCTTTCTCTCTTTCCTTGCAAGTCAGTTTGATTTTCTCCCCCTTTAGGTCTCTTCCTCTTGGGAAGTTAGGTTGGGGGAGACTATGAGTAAATATGACTAAGAAAGTCAATACCCACCTGGGCAGATATGAGTCACTTATTTCTAGTTAGCTATTCAGGTACCTTTTAAAGCTAGCCACACAAAGTCATTGCATTGGGGCTATTAACATGGTGAATAGTGACAATAATAGGGTGTGACCACAGCATAATTACATTTAGATAAGAAAGAGGTGTTTTTTTTTTTCTTCTCCTTCTTCTGCCAGTAATTGCTTACTCAATACCATTGCTACTGAAATATTTGCAAATAAACTTTTTGTTTGTGTGAGGGGGGAGGGGGTGGTTTAAGGGCACTGTTCCTTAGCTGTTTTACTCAAGGCTAGTGCTCTACCACTTGAGCCACAGTTCCATTTCTGGCTTGGTGGTTAATTGGAGATAAGAGCCTCACAGATTTCCTGCTCTGTCCGGTTTCTAACCTTAATACTCAGATCTTACCCTCTTGAGTAACTAGGATGAGCCAACAGTTTCTGGAGCAAATACAGTTTTGCTGTTGGTTGTGGGGCTTGAGCTCAGAGTTTAAGTACTGTCCCTGAGCTTTTTCCCGCTCAAAGCCAGCACTTTACCACTTTGAGTCACAGCTCTACTTCTGGTTTTCTGGTGGTTAATTGGAGGTAAGTATCTCATGGACTTTCTGGCTCTAGTTGGCTTTGAACTGTGAACCTTCAGATCTCAGCCTCTAGAAAGTAGCTAGCATTAGAGGCGTGAGCCAGCAGTGCCTGACTCATCAAACTTTTAAAAAATGCTTTGTCCAAACCTTTCCCCTATTCCCTCTTCCCTACTTCCTCTTTGGGAGTTCTGTAAAGGTTTCATTGACCAATGGCTAGACATCAGTAAAATGGTTTCTTCTGTCCCACTGTATCTTCTGGTGGATCTATCCTTTTGCAAGTTTATTTCATCTTTTGAGGGTGTGTGTGTGTGTGTGTGTGTGTGTGTGTGTGTGTGTGTGTGAAAAAGCAGATTATTTTGGCTATTTACACATTAACCTCTCAACTTATAAGTTTAGGGGGAAAAGGAGACTTCTGCTAAATTTGCAAAGCTAGTCACATAGACAGGGAGTTAACCAGTTTAGTGAGAGGAAATGAAACTTTTCTTAGGTTTATTAGACCACATCCTATAAATCTGTGGCTTATTATAAGTCTGATTTCTAAAAAGCATGGCATCACAGCGAAAGTTTTATTTTTGCTTCTTAGTCATTTGAAACAAATATAGATATTACTTCATTTCCTGGGTACTTTTTTTTTTCAGTACATGTTATGTATGGAAAGTCTGGATTTACATAACATAGTACGTTGTAAGGGGAGTTTGAGTTAATATATAAATCCCTGCTCTATTACTCTGGGCTAGCAAGCTTTTTGCTACAGCTAAAATTTTAGTTTGTCTCTTTGCTGTCCCCTACCCTGCATCCCCACTCATCCCCACAGTGCCCACACCCCGTGGAGTGTCCCCCCCCCCCCCCTCCAGTTAGAACCGGGGTGAGTAAAAGAACAAAACTACTTTGGAAGGCAAAATTAGGTTTTGACATGCTTTCTTCCAGCTTTCCCAAAATGAGGTTTAGAAATCATAGGTGGAACTGGGCATGGTGGCTCAAGCCTATGTTCCCAGCTACTCAAGAGGATGAGTTCCAGAATAATCAAGGCCAAAAAATCCCAGATCAACCAGTCGAATCATTTTCAGCCAATAAAACCCTGGGCATTGCGGTTTGTGCCTGTTACCTCAACTGTGGTGGGAAGTATAAATGGGAGGATTGCGGTCCAGGCTAGTCCAGGCAAAAAAAAAATGAGACTGAAAAATAATGATGAAAGCAAAAAGGGATCTAGTGGTATAGTGCCTGCCTAGCAAGTATGGAACCCCAGTGCTGCCACCAAAACAACAACCACCTCCAAACCCAAAACATATGTGGGTTCCTGTTGTGTGTATGTTTCCTGTTTGTTTTCTGCACTTCTCAAATACAAATATTTTTCCACATTCACCATAAAAACTCTTTGGAAAACTTAGAGTGATTTTCTGCTGTAGAAGTGGCTTTCTTTTCATGTGCTTATCTACTGCCTCAAACAGACAGACTATCCTCTAAATTCC